CCTCTTCAGTGCATGAATTTTCATGCAAAGTATGAATTTTCATGCACTGCTGCTCTAGTATATGTAAAGAGATAATATGCAAATTAGTCCAGGACTCCGTAATAGATCATGATAATAGGAGAAGGTTGCACACACAGGTGAGGCCCAGAGTGGAGACAGGAAAGGGGATCAGGGGATGCTGTCATTCGCAGGTCCCAACCCTTCTCTGCCTTAGAGTAGACACAGGCATAGGGCTAGAGGACACAGTGTTCCAGCCTCCCGTGGTGCTCGTGAGGCCTGACTCCCATGGCAGCCATTGCTTTGCGAGTCCCGACCCCCGCGGAGTGCCTTCTTGCACGGTGGGAGGCAGGGCAAATCCTCACATGATTTCAATCACACGCTGGGCCTCTAGTATATCTATAAACCTTAATATGAAATAGACCAAACGGCAGAACTACCAGTCACAATGACATGCACTGACCACCAGGGAGCACGCACAGCACTTGTCAGGTGTCGGCTGTGGTGGCATAGTGGAGCAGGGGTACCATACCAAAGCAAGGCCCCGGTCACTGTCATCGGGGCGAGCCTCTGGTGGTTACTGAAAATTCTTTGCTCCTGTACACTGCAGTGCCACCTGGCCCTCATACATGCTGCCCACACAAGCCCCACACGCACTCACTGACCCCGCCATAGCCACTGCTCACACCCATTGGCGGTGCCTGGCACCAGCCCTGATCACTCAGCGCCATCTGCAGGTGTGAGCTGTGGCTGCCAGCCCTGACCACCCTCAGATCCTTTCCACCTTCCCCTGCTCCTGAGGGATGACTGGGACAGCAATCCCTGCTCGCACCCATTGACAATGTGGACCCCACTTGCACCTGCTGCTGTTGCTGGCCCCAATCGCTTCGCACCATCAGCGGGTGCCAACGGGGCTGGCACTGTCAGTGGGAGCGGGACTGCCGGCAGACAGTGGACCGGGGCTGCTGCTGGAGAGGCTAAGACCCGCCCCCATGCCCAGTGCAGCCTTGCTGCCCACAGTTCCTTTCAAGGTACATTAATCAGTGCACTAGGTCCCTAGTATATATATAAAATTTTAATATGGGTAGCATAGTGAGTTTCTGGGCTTGGGGGTCTTATGAGGAAACTACGGTTCTTTCTTGTGTCTCTATCTCTAAAACTGATGCTTTTACAGCACTCAGGAAGATTGAAGTAACAAAAGTGAATGATTTTGGTGTACAGTTTCACAATAACAAGGTTCATGGAGAAATTCATTGTTGAATCTTGTTTATATCCTCTTTATTATTGTTTATATTTCTATGTATAGAAAACATCTATAATTACTTAAAGTTACTTATTTAATCATACAAGTTTAATGTTTAACCCTTTTGTGTGTTTTTTCTTATCAGTGTTAGTTAAGTAAATTATGGTATATCCATATAGTGGAATACAGTGCAGCTATTGCAAAATTGGTAGGAGTGTTAGTATGAAAAGATCTCCAGAATATATCAAGTAAACCAAGGATAAAGCTCTGTATGTTGCATAGAACACTATCTGTAAATATATGTATATCCTATATAATAAAGAGGTAATATGAATATTGACCATTACTCCAACACACAAGATGGACACCTCCCCCATGTGGTCAAAGATGGCCACCTTCATGTGGATACAAGATGGCCAGCAGGGGAGGGCAGTTAAGGGCAATCAGGCCAGCAGGGAGTAATTAGGCATCGATCAGGCTGGCAGGGAGTGGTTAGGTAGTGATCAGGCTGGCAGGCAGAAGCAGTTAGGGCGGTCAAGAAGGCAGGCAGGCAAGTGGTTGGGAGCCAGCAGTCCTGGATTATGAGAAGGATGTCCGATTGCCTGTTTAGGCCCAATTCAGAATCAGGCCTAAATGGGCAGTCGGATATTCTTCGAGGAGTCCCAGATTGAAGAGGGCGCAGGCTGGGCTGTGGGAAACACCACACCCGGTGCATGATATTCGTGGACTGGGCCTCTAGATTGTGTGTGTGTGTGTGTGTGTGTGTGTGTGTGTGTGTGTGTGTACTACCTAATAAAAGAGCAATATGCAAATTAACTATCACTCTGCTACACCCACAAGCCATGTCCATCAGCTTATTAGAGCGAGTATGCAAATAAACCCAACCAAGATGGGTACAGCCACAGAGAGCAAGAGGGAGGCTTGGGTTTCCCCGGCAACAGAAGCCAAGCTTTCCACCTGCTCTTGCCAGCCTAGGCCTCCACTCAAGGCTACAAAGTTTCAGTTATATCTAGGAGGTAAATAAATACAAATAGAAATGGCTGCCAGCCACAGAATGAGCAGGAGGCTTGGTTCTGTCTGCCGCAGGCTACAAAGTTTCAATTGTAGGAGGTAAATAAATTCCATATACCAGGGCCTAGGCTTGGGTCACCAGGGAGCGTGGCTGGCCTGCAAATCACAAGCCTCTAGCTCAGGCCACTCTATGCCCCTTGGGAATCCCCACCCTGATCAGGAACCACACTTCTGGGCAAACCAGCTGGCCCCCACCTGTGCATCAATCCTCTATCCTATCTAATAAAAGAGTAATATGTAGATTGACCATCACTCCAACACACAATAGCTGCCCCCATGTGGACACAAGATGGCCAGCAAGGGAGGGTAGTTGAGAGGGACCAAGCCTGCAAGGAAGGGCAATTGGAGGCGATCAGCCCTGTAGGGGAGGCCAGTAAGGGGTGACCATATCGGCAGAGGAGGGAAGTTGAGGGCAAACAGGCTGGCAGGGAGCAGTTAGACATAAATCAGGCTGGCATGGGAGTTAGAGAGTGATCAGCTTGGCAGGCAGAAGTGGTTAGGGACAGTCAGGAAGGCAAGCAGTTGGAAGCCAGCAGTCCTGGATTGTGAGAGGGATCCCAGATTGGAGAGGGTGCAGGCTGGGCTGAGGGAAACCCCCCTCTCCACCCCATGCATGAATTTCATGCATTGGGCCTCATAAATGTGAGTGTGTGTCTGTGTGTGTGTGTGTGTGTGTGTGTGTGTGTGTGTGTGTGTGTATATAAAAGCACTAAAATTCATGCACTGGGGGATGTCCCTCAACTCAGCCTGCCCCCTTTCACAGTCTGGAAGCCTTCAGGGAATGTCCTACTATGGGGAGCGGGCCTAAGCCACAGTCTGGCCTCTCTCTACAGGAGGCAACTGGGCCAATGAGGAGAAGACGGCTGCCGCCATTACCCTGACACTGCTGGCAGCCACAACCACCTGCCCTAGGTCCTCGCAGCCACCAAGGCTTTGTCCAGGTGGACATCCAGAAGCTATCTAGTCTAATTAGCATATTACCCTTTTATTAGTATAGTAGGTGCCTGGTGCACGAAATTTGTGCCCAGGGTTGGGTCCCTCAGTCTGACCTGAACCCTTTCTAATCTGGGAGCCCTCAGGGGACCCCTCTCCAATCCGGGAGTTTCTGTCTGTCTTTTCAACCAAATGAGCTCATTGAGACCTCAACTCAGTTTTCTCACAGAATAATAGAGGTCTATTTTTTTTTCTTTGCTCCATTGGTGGAGATTTCCTAGAAGTTGCAGAATATCTTCCTTTTAATTTCCCTCAACACTCTGACTTTACTTATGTCTTTCACCTTTGCTTTCCCTCTATCCTCCACCAGCAGCAGTAACTTGCTCTAGGCTCACTTTGCTCTAGTGTCTAAGTCCGTGGTCAGCAAACTGTGGCTCACAAGCCACATGTGGTTCTTTGGCTCTTTGATTGTGGCTCTTCCACAAAATACCACAGCCTGGGTGAGTCTATTTTGAAGAAGTGGCATTAGAAGAAATTTAAGTTTAAAAAGTTTGGCTCTCAAAAGAAATTTCTGTTGTTGTACTGTTGATATTTGGCTCTGTTGACTAATGAGTTTGCAGACCACTGGGCTAGGTGATCGTGTAACATGTCTGCCACCAGAACTATGATTCCCAGTATTCCTGGTGTTCCCCGCGCTCTGGGCTTCTGCTTCCAGTCCAGGGGCTGCCACCAGACTACAATTTCCAGAATTCCTGGTTCTCCCCACACTTTTGGTTTTCACTTCTGGTCCAAGGGCTGCAGAAACCAAAAGGACTGGGAACTTTATCTGCCCCAGGCGGGGCTGACAGAACTGGACATTCTAGTGCGTCCCTTGGACCTTGGCTGCTCGGCAACAGGGTCAGCGTGGGCAGAGTCCTGGGGACACCTGCTGCGTCACCCCTGCTGCTCAGCGCCTGTGCGCTCGCTGCCCAGAGGCCCGCCATTTTTGTCAGGTTAATTTGCATACTCCCAATTGGCTGTGGGCTTTTGGAGGGATGGTCAGTTTACATATTTTTCTAATATTATAGATATATATCTATTAATATAACAGAGGCTACTTATGAGTACTGGATTTTTTGTTTTTATACTATTGGAATTTTTTTCATTCTTGAGCTTTTATATATTTAAGAAAAACGGTTAAAATTTAATAAAATGTTTATCAAAATTCTGTGATTATAAGGCTGGATGTGAACTTGGTATTTTGATGGCAGCTTGTAGTATCATAGACTGGCAAAATCATCCTCCATGGTGACTAAACCAAAGCTTATTTTGATCAACTGTTGTATGACAGAGATTATTAATAACCATTTTATATACATATAACCTTATTTAAATCTCTAACCAAGCCTAACATGTAGATTCTATTTTTCTCTTACTGGGGAATATAGATATAGAAGACTGAAATCTATTGTCAAGAGACACAAAATTCCAGAGCCTGTGCTTTCAAACCCTGTACTTTAGTATTGTTCAAAAGTTGTCTAGAAATTTTTTTAAGGTTATTATTCCAGACAAAAGACCAGGTTTGAATCTGTATCCATTTCATCAAGTAAAAATAGAGAATAATCTCTATCCTTCTTTGAAAATGTCATACTTGTATGAAAAGAGTAGGAAATTCTCTATTTTAGAAACAATGAACAAAACCTTCTTTATAATGATATACATTCTGTTTGCTTTAAAAAAAAAATACATAAACTTACCTATTTTTTCCTCTTTTTAGGAACACCATCTTCAGCGGGCTATTTCAGCACAACAAGTATATGGCGAGAAGAGGGATAATATGGTTATACCTGTCCCAGAGGCAGAAAGTAATATTGCTTACTATGAATCTATATATCCTGGGGAATTTAAGATGCCAAAGCAGCTCATTCACATACAGCGTAAGTATTCTCTTAATAATTATCCTATATAATAAACGGGTAATATGAAAATTGACCCTAATAGCAGAATGACTGCTTAACCAGACACTGTGAGGTGTACTGACCACCTCTTGGTCCCTTTCCCTGGCCAGCTGACTCCGTTGCCCAATGGCAAGTGGGAAACCGCAGATAGGTGGCGACAGGGGATGGGTCAGCTGCAGCCGGGGAAGATGGCCCTAATCACAGGCCAGGCGTGTGCCAGGCCTCTAGTATTTTCTATATTTATCATCTTCCAATGTAACTCCTGACAGATTTTTATCTGCTCAAGGCCATTTTCAGTACCCATTTCATTGACCACCATTAATGAAATGAGCATTATTAAAGCCCATTTTCATCTTTTAAAATTGTGTTTGAGATCTCTACCTGACAAAAATGATACCATTTTTATCCTAAATTTTTAGTTCTTTCTCAGCATGGGATCTTATGCTACTTTAGATAAATGGTATAAATGATATGCCTCAGATATAGAAATGTTTTTTTTTACTGTTCAGAAACTGTAATGTTAATAGTCAGTCAGAAATTGGCAAACTTTTCTAAAGATTCAGATAGTAAATGTTTTTGGCTTTGTGAGTCTTTTCTGTCATTTGTTACATGTATTCAACTACTGTTTTTTCTAAGACAAAATCAGCAATAGACAGGACATAAACAAATGGACATGGTTGTGTTCCCATAAAACTTTATTGACAAAAAAAAATAAGATGGCAACCCAGTATTGGCCCATAGGTCATATTTGCCAGTCCTTGATCTGTGTTTGTAATTTTTTTAAATTTAGTGTTCTAATTGGTAACTTGTTTTACTTGGCGGTGATAGGTTCTTCATTGGAGGTTTTTTTATTTAATTGTATTGATTTCAGAGAGAGGAAGTGAGTGGGATAAAAACATAAATGATGAGAGAGAATCATTGGTTGGCTGCCTCCTGCACACCTTGTACTGAGAATTGAGCCTGTAATCTGGGCATGTGCCCTGACTTGAAATCAGACTGTGTCCTTGTGGTTCATGGATCAACACTCAACCACTGAACCACACTGACTGGGCTAGAAATGATCTTGCAATAGCTATCACAGATGATGTTGAATAGCTGAGAGCTTGTAGATTTAAGGAAATAATGCATTGTATGTTTCATTCTCTCAATGAGTTGACAACTTAAAACATAGTAGTTGACAACTTAAAACATAGTTGATCTGTACTAAGGTAAAATTGCAACAACTTTCCTTGTTGTCTTACTGACCTTTATGATTAAGAGGTTTTTCCAGGGGACTTTCTATACATTTTTCAGGACAATATAAATTTATTTTGTTGTTAGTATTTCTAAGGACATAGAAAAACTAGTTTTAACTAGTTTTTAACTCATTACCTAATTTTCTACTTATTTAACTTTATCCACATGATCTAGTTTTTGTCCTAAGTTTTAAATGTTTATTTTATTATCTACCTATAATAAAAGAGTAACATGCTAATTAACCGTACCTTCACGACACCCACCAGCCAATCAGTAGTGACTATACAAATTAACCCAACAAAGATGGCAGGTTAATTTGCATACATAGGCCTCAAGCAGCTGGGGACAGGACGCTTGCGCTGACGCAGGCACCACCCCAGCCACTCCGGGCCTCTGGGCGTCATGGGAAGGCGGAAAGGCAGCTCCAGGCTGGAACCAAAAGGTAACTCTGGCCAGAGCAAAGGCAGTGTCGAAAGTCGGGGCAAGGAAGGCCCATTCTTGCATGAATCTTTGTGCATCAGGCCTCTGGTTTCTTAAATATGAAAACCAAAAGTAAATATAGTGGCCATATTAGTTCTTATCAGTACTATACTGGCATTTTATTTTATGTTAAGTTTATTAATCCTCTCATGAAAATCTGCACAACCACCACAGATAAAGTCACTGAAGAATCTTTATTCCTTTTTACTGCACCAGCATTGACCTTTGCAATCCCCCTTTCTTCATTCTATTCTTATGTTCCTTTTGATGTTTTCTTGAGGTCTTCTTTTCAAACAGGCCATGTTTTGTAAGTCTATGTTTGAGTTCATTTTTCTTTGTATAATCCAGGGAACCAAATCATGCCAAAGCTGGTTGTCTTGCACTCACTACCAAAATGGATTCTGAATGCAAATATAAAGATGGCATCTGTTGTGGTCTTGTACATTTTTGCTGATTTTTTTCAAACTTTTATGTTAAGTACTATTATTGCCTTCCCTTGGTGAAGGATATCAATGACCATGTGTTTTTGCTGAAGTAGTTTATTGGTCAGGAACTTCCTGGTCTGGATAGTTATGTCGTTCATGGTAGAGCAGCCAGGGAGGAAAAGAGCTGTCTCATGTCTACTTCATTATGTTGAACACCTGAAACTATCACAGCCAGAGTGACTATAAATTCCTGAATCCCTTTTTGAGTCGAGAGTGCCTTTTGTTTCACAAAATCTTGACCCATAACATTTCAGACCCGGCCCTAGATATTCCCTCAGAGATAGGTCTAAAGGCTGCAAGTCCAAGATCGGGGTGCCAGCATGGCAGGTGAGATCTCTCTTTCAGACTACAGACTTCTTGTTATATCCTCACATGGTAGAAAGGAGCATTTTATATTTTTAACTGGTGATATTTTTTTCATCTTTAACTCTAACTTGCACCTTAACCATATTGATTTCCTTTAGGAAAAAATAATCACATTTAAAGGTTACTTTGAAATGAACCAAATAAGTGTCATGTATTTTTTTGTTCACTCATATATTTAATTACACATAAGGCACAGACACAGACATTTTAAACCAATTTGATCAATATTAGAACCTAAAAGTTAGGTCTCTGGAAAATCACATCTGTATAAATTATAAATCTGATCTTTTACATATATTTACTAGAACCACATTGTATTCCACAGCCACAGACTATTATTTTACAAATGCATGCTTTTAGGTTAAAACAGGATTGTGTAAGATAAAATTACATTTATCAATTTACATTATCAAAAAAAATGTGCATGTTTTACAAATAGACTGCTTATTGATTACTAAAATCCATAAAACACATTTTGCTGGTAATTAATGAATTAAATTCTGGTTAGAAAAGTCAAGAGGAACTATATTTAAATAGAAATTGACTTTGCTGACTTTGGGAAATCTCTGCTCTATTCTTGTCTTCAACTGGCTTAGGAAAGAGTTCTTAATTAACTCTTTTATCCTAGTCAGAGCTTTACAGCAAAAACCTATATAAAAATCATTATTCCCTACTTTAGTTCCATCCCATAGGTACCTTCTAATCTATTTCACTGAGTACTGCTCAACATTTCTTGACCCAAAGAGTATTAAAATGTTGTTTCTCTTTTGATTGGTGACCTACAAAACTTCCAGATTACACAGTTAGGCCTTCTCCTTTCCTATTTATATTGGAAGAAAGGACAAAACAGTTCTGACCGGAAGACAGAAACAATTTTCTCTCTTCCCTTCCCATGCACTTGGGTTTCAAAGCTCTGCTGTTAATCCTCAAAGGAAACATTTTCTGAAAGGTCTTGATATATAGTTGTGTATGTGTGTGAGTGTGTGTGTGTGTGTGTGTGTGTGTGTGTGTGTGTGTGTGTTTGTGTAGATATAGAGCCAAGAAGCAAAAATATTCAGTAGCAATGGGCACACCTAGCACCTATTCTTTAATCTCTTCCCTACTAAATGGACCCAAGAATCTATGAAGAAGTGGCTGATTTCAGTGACTGGGGCAAGGTAGGCACAAGATGAACCTGAGATTAAATATACAGTGGTTTCCACTAGTTAATTCTGGGACAATTTAAATGGAAAATTTTAAGTACAGCAATGAATTTTGATTGAAAAACTAGGAATTCATGAGGTCAGTGTGATGATAAATAGATGGGTTTTGGATAAGAGTACCTCTCATGCTTTTACTGTGGAATGCCAACAACTGAATAATACATGTGAAGAGAGTGCTGGAGTTGGGAAATTATTTTCACAATTAACATGATCAAGATTAGATTACACAAGTCATCAATATGTGCTCAATATAAGAGAAAATTTTGAGGTGCAGGATATTTACATGGTCATAAGCTCTCAAACTACTTATTAGTTACAAGGATGGAAAAAATACAGTGGAATAATCAGGCAGTTTCTTGATTGTGATCAAAATTACCATCACTCACAAAGAACAGATGAGCATTGTGTGCCTTCCGATGTATTCTAAGGAAAACTAAAAATTAAGTATGGCAATATGCCAGCCAACAGTACATAATCTAATCAAAGTGGGGTGGGGGGGGGATCAGTCAAGGTGAGAAATGTGATGATAATCGTATCTAATAAAAGAGTGATATGCAAATTGACCATACCTCCACTACACACACAAGCCATGCCCACCAGCCAGTTAGGAACGAGTATGCAAATTAACCCAACCAAGATGGTTGTGGCCACGGAGAGAGCAGGAAGCTTGGGTTTCCTAAGCAATGGAGGAAGCCAAGCTTTCCACTTGCCCTGGCCTGCCTTGGCCTCCACTTAAGGCTGCAAAGTTTCAACAATAGAAGACAGATAGGGGCCTCTACTTTGGTCGCTGGGGGGTGTGAAGGGCCTGCAAACCACCACAGGCCCCTCTAGGCCACCCCATACTCCAAGGGAACCCCACCCTGATCCAGGACACCCTTCAGGGCAAAGCAGGCAGCGCCCACCCATGCACCAGGCCTCTATCCTATCTAATAAAAGAGTAATATGCAAATTGATTGTTGCTCCAACACACAGTATGGCTGCCACCATGTGGTCAAAGACCCTGCCCCCATGTGGACACAAAGATAGCTGCCACAAGATGGTCAGTAGGGGAGGGAAGTTGGGAGGGACCAGGCCTGCAAGAGAGGGTAGTCGGGGGTGATGAGCCCTGCAGGGAAGGGCAGTTGGAGGGGCCAGGCCTGCAGAGGAGGGAAGTTGGAGGTGACCGGACCTGCAGGAAAGGACAGTTATGGGGGACCAGTCCTGCAGGGGA